CTGGGGTGTGGTGGACAGAAGCCTGGGGATGCAGGGCCTCCCTGGGCCTGGGGCTCACCTATAGGCTTCTGAAAGGTAACCACGGCAACGCCAAAATCTCGGATCACTTCCACCTTAAAGTCGTCACTGGGGAAGCCGCTTATATTCTCCACCAGGAAGGTCAGCACTATGTCAGTCACCTTCTCAGGCAGGTTTTCAAATGCCACCATGGAGGGAACAGTTTCACATTCTTTGGGGACATCTTCTGTTCTGTTGCTGGGAGAATGTGCTGTATCCAAATCATCTGAGGAAATTGGAAATGACAATGAAAGGTGTAAAGTATTTTTTTTTTTGAGACAGGGTTTCTCTGTGGCTTTGGAGCCTGTCCTGGAACTAGCTCTGTAGACCAGGCTGGTCTCGAACTCACAGAGATCCGCCTGCCTCTGCCTCCTGAGTGCTGGGATTAAAGGCGTGCGCCACCATCGCCCGGCTGAAAGGTGTAAAGTATTAAATCATGGTTCAATTAAGTACATTATCTGGAGGCAACCCTCCTCCCTTTCCCATATCTTGGCTAACTCTGCTAAAATGAAAACTCAGAAAGTAGCGCTTTTCCTTCAATGAATTAAAAACTAAACTGTAGCTGGGCGTGATGCTACATGAAGGCTGTAACAGGCAAATCTCTGTGAGTTCGAGGCCAGCCTGGTCTACAGAGGGAGTTCAAAAACAAAACAAAACAAAAACCAAAAATGTAATACCATGGGTTTTTTGTTGCTCTTGTTGTTAGTGAATTAAAAACCAAAAGTAGCATTAGTTTTTGTTTTATTTTATTGTCGTTATCACTAATTCAATTTTATTACGTTTCCTGCTCTATCTTTCTAAGGAAGGGGCATCCTCCCTCATATGTGTCTCTCGAGGACTCAACTGTGATTACAGAACCAAGCTTCTACAGTTAGGGTAGCATCTTCATCTCTGTGCTGTGGCACACGGCAGACAGCTGAGGCTCATCAGGTGACCACTGCGTTAGAGAACTACTGTTGGCCTCCCTGGAGGAGCAAAGGTATAGGAAGCTGTGTACATACTCATGCTAACAAAGTAACAGTTTAAGGATTACACTGTAGCAGCATCAGTGAGGAATGACTCCCTGGGTTAGACAGCTTGCTGTGTAAGTGTGAGGGCTGGAGCTTGAATCTCCAGCCCCCTTGTAAACAGCAGGGCATGGCTACATGTGTCCAGTGTGGAGAGCAGAAATGGGCAGATCCCAAGAATCCCTGGCCAGCAAGCCTAGCCAAAGGGGCAAACTTAGGTTCAGTGAGAGACCCTGTCTCCAGGCCGGAAGGCAGAGTTATGCAGGGAAAGAATTCCTCTCCCCTAAATGCGGTGTCTGCATCTCTTCATTGTTCTTGCTCACCTCATTCATTGTTTGGTGCCCTTTACACAGGTATTATTAGCTGCTCCTTCATTTAAGTCTTGAGCAGGACCCACCCACCAGCACAGCAGGAGACCTGACCCTAGCCCCAATGCTGGCTGTTTCCTGTGCAGTTGAGGATGGAAGAGCCTGTGCTGGGAAGCTGGGGTCCATCTAAGATATACCCAGTGCTCACAGAGCACTGCTACCCAGAGAGGCACACAGCAAGCATCCACTACAAGTCCTGTCCTTGCTATTACTGTCCACCAAAGCACAAGTGTCCATCTCCATCTCTCAGTTTTCTCCTCTTCTCAGCTGTAGATGTCTCTCGGCAGAAAAAAAAAAAAAAAGTCCTGTTCCTCTGAAGGGAGCC